CAATGAAGCTAAGTTGATAGACATTGCATCTAACAACAGCTTACTTATAGCTATAGGTATCCCCAGCGAATACAAAGTTTTGAGAGGGAATTGAAGCAAATTTTTGATAGATTGGTTACTTTGAATAAGTTTTTACTCCAAATATATCATCAAATCACAAAGTTTGTACGCGGGAATGTATCTTTAATGAAACTTAAAATATATGTTTATATCTCAAAGATCTTGGTTCCTTTCGATATTCACGCATATTGGTTCATTCCTTCCTGAATTATGTACAAAAAATCCATTTTTAGCTTGTGGACCCTCTAGAGGTCATAATTTTTTTCCGATTTAAAAAACCGTTTAGATATATCAGTTTTACAACCTCATGACAGTTGAGTTTGAATTTTTAGAAAATCAGACTGAAACTGCCAGACAAAATGGTCCCTCGTTGTACTCAAATAGTGTAAAAGTATGTAATACCAAGGTTGTGGACCCTCTAGGGGTCAGAATTTTTATCTGATTTTAATATGTCCCCTGATTGTACAAAAAGTCACTTTGTTTTTTTAGCAGGTTTTCTGTCCATCTCTTGCAATTAATGTGGGCATATCTTGCATGGCAACCGCTTGTTGAATGTATAAAATGATTTTGAGAGCAGCGGAGTAGTGCACTGAAATAAATGTTTAATTTTTACATCCGAGTTGTTGTATGTTAAAACTTCTTGTGGCCGTATTCAAAGAATTTACCGAAAATTATAAAAACTCGTTTAAAATACTTTAGTAGTTATTTTTTAACGTTTTTGGTGTTGAAATGTTGCTTATAATCTCTACTTTTGATCTAAGGGAGACATTATGGATATCTCATTTTAGCAAGGAAACTCATCATTTTTTGGCGTTTCCATGGATACTAAACTAACCACGGTCTATAGCCAAAAAGTGTCCCTCACATTTCTTGAACTTGCATTTAGCATTGTTCATGCCAAATTTGATAAAAATCAATCCAGCCATAACTGAGAAAATTCAACTTTTGTTGTCATTAGCACTTTTATTATCATGTTTTTGGGCCAAGTTTGGAACATAGCTGGTATAAAAATTGGTATTTTTTGGTAGTTATGACCCCAGATAACCAAAATGTCATATCTTGTGAACACAACTTACAGTGCTAGATTTAAAATGTGCATTTTAGACTACGATTTTTAACAGATTTTATTTAAATGAGTGGAGGATGAACCCTATCGATTTATTCAGTGTTCAGAGGCCTTATTTGTTCAGAAAAATCTGTGAACACCGTAGACATTAGATTTCTTAAGGATCCTAGATCCTTATTATTATATTTGTTCCGCATCCAAGTTTCTTTTCGGACATAGCTGCAGTGTGTGCGTATTTCCACGTTTTGCATGGCTATATAGTTTCTCTAAGAACCGTATTTCATTTCTATCCACAAACATATTCTCAAGATGGCATCTAAACACTTTGAAGTCCATATTTTTATTAAATTTAGATAAGGAAAATGATTATTGGCCATCTTGCGCATTCTGGAGTAAAGTTTTTATACACTACTTGTTACTGAAAAAATCTTACGACATCCTTTCTGTTTGTCCAGCTAACCTGTATCTGGCGGAATAAATTTATATTTTTTACGTCTTCTTCAGAAGGATACGTAATTAGTTTTGGTTGGTGGAGATTTAGATTTGTTCAGAACTGCTTATATGATTTCAACTAAGATTAGGTATTATATAGGTGGTCAGGATTTAGATTAGGATTTCTGTACCTCAGGGACTCAGCTGGAGCATTTAAAAGGGTGAATAATTGACCATTTTTTAAACTCCCTGAATAAATTATGGTTTATATTGGCAAGATTTTGTAAAGAATTAAAACTTAAAATATTTGTACTAAAACATTTTCAATCTAATTTATTTACCGATATCAAAAGTTTGCTAAAAAAAATCCCTCTCAGTAGATTTTAATCAGTAAAAACTACCCCATACCCCAAGAATTTATTTTTATCTGCTTGCCATATTTACAAAAATTGGCATACTTTTACTGGAAATAACTCCCCGATAATACTTTTGTGGGAATGTATCTTTAAAGAGTAATGTAGTGATGTCATATGTCACAATTTCTCTTTTTCCCTGTGAATTGGTAAAATCTGTTCAATTTGTGTATAACTTTAAATTTAGTGATACTAAATTATACTAAAGAATAGCTCTTTAATAGAGATGTCTAAAGGTTGATTTGTATAGATGTCTTCAGTGTCTATATTATAGAAATAGGTGGACCATCTTTATCAAGCTAAAACTAAAAATTAAATAAAAAACAATCTTTGTAGGCACCGACATAGATGGTTGTCGCCAAATAAGACAAGGTGTAATTTGCCATTAAATGCAGCCCTTGACTGTTGGAAGAGTGATGTACCAGAATTTTTTAAAATTGAAAACTGCTGATCGCCATTTAAGGGATATAAACAAGACAGGGCCACCTATAAGCATTGGGTATAATATTTTGATAGGCCTCTTTTTTATCCAATTGAATCCAAGTTGGGAGATTATCTGCTTTTGATATTTTTTTTCTATCTTAATTGAATGTTAAGTGACCAATTTGATAAAATTTTAGCTTGGATTAAGATGTCCCAAAAGTTCATATCACTATCAGCAGCTTAAATTGCCAGTGCATCCAAACTGTCAGACTTTACTGTTGACAAATAAACAATAAAATGGGAAAAAAAATCCCCTGAAAAACGCTATTGATTAATATAAATATTAAGTTTTAATATTGAATTTATACATCTGCTTTATTACTCATATTATATTAATGGAGTAGAAAATGTTAGGCATCAATATATTATATTTCTACATGTACAATGCATTCTTTTCCCCAATTGACCCATATCAAGAAAATACCATTTTTGTTACATCAGAATTAAATTCTTGCATCTCTTCCCGAGTTTGTGGAAAGTAAATCTTCACTAAAGCTGTGCTGCAGTGCAGACTATATTCTCCCAGCTGTGGTTAAAAATAGAAAATTACTTTTGATCACCCACATGTAACCAAGCCACTTTATCAAAAATTAACCTCTATAAGATGTAATCATAGGTTATTTTCTATAATTTTAGGATCAGAGATTGTTTCGTTTTGAAACCTCTTTCAATGAGGAATCGTGGATATTCAGTTATTAATGTCACCAATTGTCTAACTGCACTCTGTGTTTGTTAAAGCCTACTATATCAAATTATCTCATAAAAAGATGAAAAAAGACCAGGGCAAGCTGACCTAGTACATATAGTGCACGATGAGAGAACTGACTAGTTAATATCTTTCTCTGATTTTGTTCAGGGCAGAACACGACCAGCATATACATAGTTTGTCTTTATTTATACAAATGCTTATAATAAAGAGCTGCATATATATAGAAATAATATAAGGATTTATCGAATCAATAATCTTACATCTATTTGGATTTTTTTTTCTCCGCTCGCTTGCTTCAGAATGAGTCGTTCACTTTTTAGTCATAAATTTTATGGGTTATGTCAGGCTGACATGTGTGAGTTGAAATAGATATATTCATGGCTATATGGTGAACAAATTATACCTCTATGCAATTATTACCGTTTAATTATAAAAATGGAGGGTGCGGGTGGACAGTTTTCTGAAACAAAAGAGTATCTTTATAATCTTGAAACAAAGTGATTTATTATATGTATCATTATTTATACACAGTTTTAAAGACTTTCATTTTTGAGGAATCCAGTGAAAACTATTTTGAAATATCACACCATAAGCTTAGGGTTAGCTTCTCCAGTATACACATATTTTTAAACTGTGTCATATCAATGAAAAATCTTTTTAAGTCCTAATTTAAGTCATTGAAATATATAAATTTGAAAGTACACTCCATGACCAAGCACCAAACTTGGTAAGTATTATTGAATATGTTACAATGTTGTACATATTTTATCAATAGATTATAAAATATTATAAATAAAATCCATTGATTATTCACATTTCTGTTGCATATTTAAAAATCAATTGATATGGCATGGTGAACAATACACTTTGTTTTATTAACAAAAAAAGAATATCATATGTAACAGTTTTGATGCATATAGAATTAATGTGTCACTTAAATGTTGCTTTATGGTATTTTACGAATAAACATGCAGATTATATTCTTATAATTATTCAGTTAAAGCAGTTTTAACTCATTTTAAATCTTTTAAGACACAGGTTAAACAAGTATTTTATTAAATGACAAAGATTTGAATATTTAATTATGAAAAAGCATTCCAATCACTTCATATGACAAGAATTTTATTTTTTTATTGATTGTTATTCAGTATTTGAGAGTTAGTTGCATAGCAACAGATAATAAAAAAAAACAGACTATATCAAACAGATGCAATTTCAGACAGGCTTAAAAAAATATCTATATTTATTCGTTGATCTGGTATATAACTGCACACGGCTGTATAGAGATTATTAGTTGAATGACTGGTCTTGTTCGTAGGGTATGTTTTAAAAAATAACACGACCCACATAACATGCATTCAAATTACATGCTGCCAAATTATCATAAGATATTCGGCAGGTCAACGCATAATACACTTCAGTCTTCACACTAGTCAGTCTGCCCCCTTTTTATTATTTTTTCTCTCGGCGGCTTTGATACCGAAAGAAAATAAACATTCTTTATTATGGTTTAATTAGAACATGAATTTAGCAGTGGTCCAATCTCAATACTGCATTACACAACAGCTGCGTTCAATAAAAAATAGGCTATTGAAAGGAAGGATTTTTTTTTAATAACAGAGAGGTTTATGATTGAAAGCAATTTTTTTTCAGTCTGCATATTTTTTTCAAAGACGTAAATAGGTTGTTGGGAGTTTATGCAGCAGATTGGCAGGTCTAGCTGACTGAATAGCAATCTATGTATAGCTGTCTTCTTTTAACATATGCTCGCTGGGATGGATCCATACTTTCAGAATTTTAAACTATTTTTGACATATTGGTTAATGTCTGCCAACAGGGAGGAGTTGGGAGAAGGGGATCAAGATCTTCCACCTTTACCACCACTGCCACCCCCTCCAGTGTCGACGTCACAGTCACAGCCACAAAATGACAACGGCGCCCAACAAAACAGTCTTCTACCAACATCCTCCAGGGATAAAATGCACCATTGTCCGACATGCTTGAAGCCGTTCCGGAGTAAGCAGCAGTTAAGTCAGCATGACTTGGTTCATAATGGTTTACGAAGGCACCAATGCTCATACTGTGATAAATGTTTTAAACAACTTTCACATCTTCAACAACATGTCAGAATACATACAGGTAAGTCTGCTATTTTTTTGTTTTTCATAAACTTTCCACAATAATGAATAATATATATTTTCAGTGTAATATAATTTCAAATACAGGGTAGAAAAAAATCCCTTTTTTTCTCACAGATATGTAAATTAATAGATTCAGATGATTTATGACATGTCTATATATTAATTTTAAGATATTCCCACAGTCCTATAACATGTACATAATTTTACAAATCTGCTTTATCAAGCATGACCTACACTAAGCTGTGGGGTAAAAAATGTGGATTTAGCTATTTGAATAGTTGGCTGTGAATATACCACAGTAAAGATATATCTATGTGCATGTACTTTGACATAACCACACCACACGCTGTGAGGGGAAGTATTTAATATATTACGGCTGATTGTTAGCTTAGAAACACGAGTTATTTGAATAAAATGGAGAAAAAGAATTAAGAACAGGAAATCAGTGCTTTGTTTATGAACACTTAATACTAGATTTCCTACTTTATGATCAAGAAAGATTTCTTTTTTATTATGTTATTCCATTTCTAATGCCTGCTGTATGCAGCTGGTTGAAATTGAATAAAAGTTATTATTTTGAAATATTATATTAAGCTATATCGTGATACATTAAAACAATATTTTGTTTATTAGCTAATTGGTAAATTTACTATCAGTTTAAAATTAATGGACTGTGTAAAAAATAATTTTGGCGCTTTTTTTTATTTCTTTTCGTAGATTGGTGGGTGGAAAATGATCAGGGCCATATATAGTTAAAGTTCATTGATTGGTGGGAGGGGTGTGTGTAAAATTTGAAATAAGATATTACCTGTGTAGTGGCAAACCATAGTATACAAGCTCCCTTGTAACTGTTCCCCATGGTTAATGCCCACAAATAATCAGGGTGGAGGGGCATATATTTTAAAACTCAAGAGCCCTTATGGAGGTTTCCCATATTGAAACAACTCAAATTTTTTTTTATGGAGGAGCATAGGTTGTGGTTCGTAGCAAATCATAGGACACAAGAGCCTGTGTGGAGGTTTTCTGAGGTGAAACCCCTTAAATTGTTTTTTTTTTTGGTAAATGAGATATTGCCGGAGTAGTGGCAAACTGTAAGCCACAAGAGCTATATTATGGAGGTTTCCTGTGGTTAAGACTTTGAATGCTCGAATGATAAAAGTTACCATCCGATTTGTATGAAATTTATATGCATCATTTAAATTAGTGAAACAAAGAAGTATATTCAATTTCCAATATTTACTTATAGAGTTATGGCCCTTGTTTCACTTTGTTGAACTTTGTGAATGCTCGAATGACGAAAGTGATCATCGGATATGTATGAAATGTATATGCATCATTTGAATTAGTGAAACAAAGAAGCCTGTGTGATTTCATCAATTTCTGTCAATTACTTCTAGAGCTATGGCCCTTGTTTTACTTTGTTGAACCTTGTGAACGTTCGAATGACAAAAGCTATCATCCGATCTGTATGAAATTTATAGCATTATTTAAATTAGTAAAATCGAAAAAGCATGTTGAATTGCAACAATTTCTGTAGTGTTAAGACCCTTGTCTCAGTTTGTAGGATCTTGTGAACCCTCCAATGATGAAAATTATAATCTTAGCTGTATGAAATTTTCTTGTAAATGCCCCCAATTACCTACAAAAGAATAAATATGTGACAACCCTTTTCGAAAGCTTGGACGATTTAGCTGCTGTGGGCATATGTTTTGTTGCCTGGCAACATTTCCTTAAAATATTGGGCAGTATTTGTTCAACTCTACTCAACCAGCATTATCCAGCCTTTCTTCAAGTGATCATATCTGGATTATAATCTCCCATATGGAAAGTCATATATCATTGAAAAGGGTTTTTGAATCAGAAATGTTAATATATTTACTTGTTAGAATAAAACCAGCTAAAAAAAACAAACATATAATATTATGTCCCTGCACCTCAAATTACAGAATTATGGATATGTATATTTTAAAGTTAATTTTAAAACCTGTTATATGTAATTATTGCTGTATTTTCAGATAGGTTTTCCATTAGAAATGAATGTTAATATACTCTTCAAAAAAAGTAGGGGATATTGAAATGCAAATACCTATGCAGGTTGTGATATGTTAAATAGTCATGGACACTTGACGTGCTTTTAGAGTAAGTTCACAGATGAAGAACTTATCGCCCCAACAGAACCACTGAGCTGCACGTGCGACACGCAATAGCACCATACACGTGGGAGGGGTTCATTGTCAAATTTGACACTTCAAGGAAGGGTTGATGAAAACTGCCGAGTGCTGGTTTATGCTATCCATGTTTGCTTTCCTATCGGTTCTTGCATAAGATTTACTGTTAAGCGTATCTTTGCTTTAGTGTGTTACGTTTAATTTGCAATGAGACGTCTTCAACATGATGAACGTCTACGTGCTATTGGCATGCTTCAAATGCTGATGATAGACCTCGTTCAGGTCGTCCTAGAGCCACTACACAAGTCTAGGATCGATACATTCGTACACAGGTCCTGCGAAATCGAGGACAAACGGCCAATCAGCTTTCTGTAAACTTGTACCAAGTTACAGGAATTCGAGTTACACCCCAAACGATTAGAAATCAGCTACATGCAGCCCATTTGCATGTGTGACGACCGCGCGTTGTTCCTCCATTAACTCGCCAGCACATGGCAAACAGGCGGCAGTGGTGTAGGCAGCGTAGAAATTGGGGTAATCGTCGATGGGCGCGTGTAATGTTCTCAGATGAGTCTAGATATACTCTGGATTTCACCAATTAACATCAGACAGCATGACAAATTCGGGTGGGGGTCTGTTACGGTGTGGGGAGGAATCACCATGACTGGCAGAAGGGTCACTAGTGTGTACTACCGTGACCACATCCTGGCACCTATAGTTCTGCCCTGTGCTCAACGTTTCATCTTTCAAGATGATAATGCCCGTGCCCACCGCACTCGTGTCGTGAATGACTACCTCCAGCATCACCATATTGTCCATATGCCTTGGCCAGCCCTGAGTCCTGACCTTTCCCCTACAGAGCATGTCTTGGACATGATGGGGAGACTTGTTCGTCAACGTCAACATCAACTGACAAAACTGCAAGAATTGGCAGTGGCACTGCAAGAGGAGTGGGTCAGATTGCCCCAAATCATGATTGGACGGTTGATTAGGAGCATGCCATGACGAATTGCTGAATGTCTGCGGATTGGTGGAGCAATTACTCATTAGTAAGACAAAAATCAAAAACGTCCATTTTCACTTTTGACAGTGTATCTCTTTGCGAGTGAAATGGGGCCGTCAGATAAGCCGCACATGAACTATTTATGTTCATGTGTAGGCAATTGGCCTGTTATTAACATACACTGGTTACCTCTTATAAAACCACAGTGCATTTCTGCAGTTTTGTATTGTTTCTGAATATCCCCTACTTTTTTTGAAGAGTATATGTATTTAGATAGGTTTGGTGTAGAAGCAGAATGGTGTGGTGTTGACAGTAATATTGTAATTAACAATACTTTATAATGATATACCAATTTGGATATACTTAGTCTTGGGTTTAAGAAAAAAGTTAACTTGACTTAAGGTAGCAATATGCCATTGACATTTGTTGCTTAATCAATGCAAATATGTACTCAAAGAGCACATAAAATGTCCATACAAAATTTTATGTACTTATAGCCAGTGGTTACTATGTACACTTTATGGCATGTTCACACCAATCTGATTAAAATTAATTGAGCCATGTTCACTCAAAGTCACAAATGTAGACCTCCTGTAAAAAACAACTTTGCCAATTATTATAAACACTCTTAATTTGCTCAAACGCCAGTGATGTCACAGTGACCGAATGCATATTAGAAATTTTCTTAATTACCATATACACAGCCAGGATGTGTACTCATAAACTCCTGATTCCTTAACCCCTAATAACATAAAACAATTAACTATGGAATAATTTTTATACACCCACATTTTCATGTGGATGTATATTGCCGTTGCCCCTGTCAGTCAGTCCGTCCGTCCACAATTTTTTTGTGGACAGTCTACAGATCACAATTTTTATCTAATTTTGACGAAACTTGAAAGATAGGTTTATCTCTCAAAGATCTCGGTTCCTTTTGATATTGGCATGTATCAGACTATAACTTCATGGATTATGGCCCCTGATTATACAAAAAATCTCTGTTTTTAGCTTGTGGTACCAGAAGACGTCACAATTTATATCCCATTTAAAAAAAACGTTTGAATATATCAGGGTTACACCTTTATAATGGCTGAGGTTGAATTTTGTGAAAATCGGACTAAAACTGTCCTACAAAATGGACACTCTTTGTACACAAATAGTGTAAAAGTATAGAATATCAAGGTTGTGGGCCCTCTAGAGGGCATAATTTTGATCTGATTTTGATGAAACTTAAAATATGTGTTTATATCCCAAAAATCTGGTGTCCTTTCTATATTCGTGCATATCATAACTTACCTTCCTGGGTTATGGCTCTTGATTGTTAAAAAAATTATGTTTTTAGCTTGTAGCCCTCTAGAAGTCATAATTTTTATCAGATTTTAAAAACCATTTAAATATTTCCGTGACCTGAAAATTATTTGTGTAGCTGTTGCCACTCGTTCATTATATTTTTGCGTATCTTCCAGAATCCTCAAATAGTTATTACGAGTCAATCATGGTCGCTTTTCTATGTTAAAATTGTATTTTGAATCTTTTAAGCATTTTTATCGCATAATACAGTAAACCTCGCATAAGTCGGATTCGTATAAGTCGGATCTTCGCTCAGCTCGGATAAAATCGTTTGGACCCTTTGATCCTGTATGTTTTTCTTATTAAATTTCTGCACTTAAGTCAGATCTTTGCTCAACTCGGATCAAAATGTTCGGTCCATTTGATCTAATTCCAGCTTTTTTCCTTCACCTAAGTCGGATCAGCAGTATGTTCACAACATGCTGTTAAAAATACATTCCCCTCCGCCAAACGGCCTGGGTGACGCCATTTAAA